TAGTATAATAATTACATGTACTAAAAAAATTCAATAGATATACTTTTAACTATACAAATTAGAAAAATCCTTCTTTTTTTTTTTTTGGGATCTTGGTTGCATAATGGGAGGCAACCATCTCCCATTTCTTATCCCACCTCACCCCGCATGCTATGCAACTCGAACTCATAACCTCTTATTTCCAGCAGAAGAAGATGACCTCTTATTTCCAGCAGAAGAAGATGACCACTAAGTTATTTAGATCATTGGTGAAAAACCCCTTTTTATACTTAGTATTTCTTATGAAACTCTGTTTTTTGAATTTCTTTAGCTCTCTTTCATAATAACTGTAGTGTTTTTTAATTTTTTCTACAAATTCATGATTTAAAAAACATTTATATATTTACCTATATTATCTTTAATAAAAAAAACTAAAAGATAAAGTAAAATTTTTTGTGATAGGATAATTAATCAAAATAAATTAATAATGATAAAATTAAAATAAGAAAAAAATATTTATCTTTCTTAAAAAATAAAAAAATAATAATTAATTTGAAACAAATTCAAAGTAAAAAAAAAAACATAATTATTTTGGAACAAAGGTAATAATTGTTTTACAATTAAATTACGTAATTTCATACTTTCATTTGAATTGTAGTATTAATTTTAAGATAAAGACAAAAATGATTTTTTGTTTTCTGGCCACCAAAAGCTCACATATACTGTATTAAACAAAAGAAAGGAGATCATTCTGTTAAAAAAAAAAAAGGAGATCGTTACATCGCACATGGGCGTCCTTAAACAAACAAAACAAACAAAAGATGTTGAAAACCGAAACATAAACCCATAAACCCATAATAAATTTATAGGTTTTAAACCTCACCTTATATTATAACACATTTAGTCCTTTACTTATAGGAATTGAAGAAAATAGCCCTTATTTAATGTCTTGTTAGCTAACTGTTAGTTTTGTTAACTGACTGTTAGCTCTGTTAACTGACTATTAGCATTCTGTTATAGAAAACATGGAATTTAAATTCAATTTTATTTGTTAATTTCGTTAATGAAATGCTAACAGTTAATTACCAGAACTAATAATCAGCTAACAGAAGTAACAAAATATTATAACCTGATATTAAATAAGGGTTATTTTCTTCAATTTATATAGATAAGGGGCTAAAAATATCATAGTATAAAGTGAGGGGCCAAAACTTATAAATTTATTAAGATAAAGAGCTAAAAGTAGGCATTTCTCCCACAAAACAAGGAAAAGAGAAAAATAAACAAAATAAAAATGATTATTATTCTAGAAAAGTTTTTTTTTAAAAAAATTTTTGTAAATATAGTTTTTTTTTTAAAAAAAATAAGATCAAGCAAGGAAAAGAATCTTATCTATAAATTGATTTTTTTTAAAGCAAATCAATAATTTGAATTCATTAAATGAGATCCAATAATTAAGGAAGCTAATCTTAATGATTTTAAAATTTTAATGAGGATAGAAAAACAAGTAATATAAATAAAATGCATATCAGAAAAATGGGTATCAGTCTGTATTTAAAAAATTAGATAGAAAAATATCTCAAAACTATATTGTTTTAATAAAATTTTATTAAAAAAAATAAAAAATCCTAATTATTTTTAAAATTAAAATGGAGATTAAAATACTAATTTAGTCTCTTGACTTTCAAACTTGTACTTAAATTGTTTTTAAACTTAAAAAGTATCAAATTTATCCTTGAGTTTTAATTTTTAGTACCAAAATAGTCCTAAATTTGAAGATAAGATTAATTTAATCCTTGAACTTTGAAGATAAGATTAATTTAGTCCTTGAATTTTGATTACAAGTGTCAATTTGATTATTCAACTTTAATTAGACATCAGTCTGATATATAAATTGAAATATACTATGATAACAAAATATGATTATTTAATTTTACACGTTATTAGTATTTAAAAAGAAAATTGATTTTGTGACATGATAATTAGTCACATGACACTTCTGTTAACAAAAAGACTATTTTAGTATTAAAAATTAAAGTTTAATTTTAACTTTTTTTTAAGTTTAAAAATGTTTCAATACAAATATAAAAATTGAGAAACCAAATTGATATTTTAACCTAAAATATAATAGTAATTCTCATTTCTAAATGTTTAGTTTCCAAATGTTTGGTCGTTAGTGTCAACCATTATTGTGTGGCAATGATCACCACTTACTTGAAAAAAGCAGGTATTAAGAAATTTGAGATTCAAATTTTGACAAACCTCATTTCTAATCCCTCAAATTGAATTAGCTCAAAAAAAATTTTTTTTTTTCTGGGTCGTTAGTTTTGTTATTATTTTGACTTCCTGACATGCTGCTTTGCCCATTTGGACCAGCTGAAGGTTTCAAGCTGTATTACCTCACATCCTGCCATACCATATTTCCCTAATTCCCTTCGTTTAAGCGAACTCCAAGATGAGCTAACTTGAACCCAGCCGACCCTGCCCGGCCCGTACCTTGACTGCTACCCCTTGTTCGACGGAGTACACGATCATTTACCATGCCGTGTGCTTTACAACTCTGTGGAGCCAGGGTAGTACTTTTGTTTTGGGGCAATGATACAGAAACAATTTGCCTTTAAACCATTTTCTTTTGCGTTGTGAGTCTAGCTGTCGTTGAAGTACCACTACTTTCGTTCGTGGACCAGAGTTGTCAATATTAGTGGACTAGTCTAGCTGTTCACTACGCGGTGTTCGGTTGGGAAAGAATCTTGGAATTTTGCTTGGATTGTTTATGCTGCTTGTGTTTGGCAGCTAAATGCTCTTGGAAGGTTATTTTACTCAGGAAGCCCTTTCATGCCTTGTATCAGAAACAATTTCTCGATTATAAACCCGAGAATAAAGCCTTTTATGGGTAAGTGGTTCGATAAGGCAATAAAATCCTAGGGGTGCCTCTTAAATCCTTTGTATGAAGCATTTGAAATGATTAAAATATTATTGTAATATTTTTAAAAGATTTTTTATAATCAATTAATTTTTTCTTATAATGAATTTCAGTTATTGATAATCGAAGTACTTTACATTTATAATTGATTGTGTTTCAATATCAATAACATATTATAAATAAATAAAAAAACTTAAAATTTCTATTATAAACAAATATAATTGGAGAATAATTGACTATTAATTCCTCAAAACTATAAAAGGAATGTTATAATCAATTATAAGTTATTATAATTAATTATTTAATAATTGATTGTAGAAGGTCATAATTAACTTTAGGTGCATTTGGGATTACTGTGAAATGTTGTGGTTATAACTGTGCCTATAACTGTGACTGTAATTATGTTGAATTGTGTTATACTGTAACTATAACTAAAAGTTATTTTTATATTTGATTATTTATTTCTTAAAAGTATTATAAATGAAATATGATAGATTTTATTAATTATTAATTAAAATTTAAAAAATATTGTAAGATATATAATAACTAAAATAAATAATATTTATTATTTTTTTAATAATTTAGGTTTTTTAAATTTATTATCATTATGAAAATATTATAAATTATGATATAATTAAATTATACGAAATTGGGTTTTAATAGGTAATTTTGTAATTATATTAAATATTAGATATTGTGCGTAAAAATCACAACTCGAAAACTTCAAAATAATACTTATGGCTTTCTATATGTAATTAAACTTTATATATAGAATTGCTGTAAATCTGCTAAGGCTTTTTTTAATTTTTTAAAAAAGTAATCTGAAAAAAAATTATCAAACACACATATATTTAAAAATGCTGTACAATTACACAAAAAAGCTCCAAACTGCAATCCCAAATGCCCCATTTATCTCCTCTATTACTTTTGGTACTGAACAACAATTTAGCAAAATGAAAATCA